CTCTTTTATGACTCATGGATTTCAGCTCCCAGAATTCCTGAGCCAGCATGGCTCAGCTTGGAAACCTCTCCCTTTCCCTCAGCATGGCTGGCTCAGGAATTCTGGGAGTTGAAGTCCACGAGTCATAAAAGAGCCAAGGTTGCCTAACCCTGGTGTAGAGTCTCCTGCTTGAGCAGGGGGTTGGACTAGAAGACCCCCCAAGGTCCCTTCCAACTCTGTTAATTCTGTCATATAAAAAAATCAATTATGTCTAGTAGGGGGGAGCAATCTCTTAAGCAGTAAGAGAATTGATCAGAGTTAGTTTCTTACATGGACTCCCCATTTTAATGAGAATAATTAATTAATTAATTAATAATAATAATAATAATAATAATAATAGTAATAATAATAAAAGTTGGAAGGGACCTTGGAGGTCATCTAGTCCAACCCCCTGCTCAGGCAGGAAACCCTATACCATTTCAGACAAATGGCTGTCCAGTCTCTTCTTAAAAACTTCCAGTGTTGGAGCATTCACTGCTTCCGGAGGCAGGTTGTTCCACTGGTTCATTGTTCTAACTGTCAGGAAATTTCTCCTTAGTTCTAGGTTGCTTCTCTCCTTGATTGATCAGGATATTATAACAAATCGGCTAAGAATATCATGCTTACAGACTGCATAGCATTAAGGCTTCTTCAAAATTCATTTTATCTCTGTTCTGTTCTAAATCAGTACTCTAATTTAGTGTTGCAATTCTGACAGATCATAAATGTTCATCATGACTACAGGTAGTTCTCGGCTTTCAACCTTTCGTTTAGTGACCGTTCAAAGTTACAATAGCACTGAATAAAGTGACTTATAAGAAGACTTATAAGCCTTCGCATTTACGACTGTCATAGCATCCCATGATCACGTCAGAATGTGAGTGCTTAGCAACCAGCATGTATTTATTTACAAGGGTTGTAGTGTCCCGGTCAACTGGACACCATTTGAGGCCCTCCCCAATTAGCTTCCAAGCAAAGTCAACAAGAGGAGCTGAATTTGCTTAACAGCCATGTGTTTCTCTTAACAACTGCAATGATCCACTTAACAATTGTAGCAAAAACCGACATAAAATTGGGGATGATTCACTTAACCACCACCTTACTTAGCTTTAGAAATTCTGGTCCTGGTCAAAAGTTGAGGAATACCTGCTGTATGATCACCATCACTTGGATAGTTCTCCTTGCCAGCGTGAGTCTAAGAATTATGGGAACTGAAGACCAATCTATCTGGGGACATCTGGTTAGGAAAGGCTGAATAATAGCTGAATTAAAGGACTTAACTGTTTAATACTTTAGCAGCTCTTTTTTAACTGAGGTATGTTTGAGTTCTCACTCCACTCTCTGACTATTGGTGTGATAGCCCTACATTACCTTTACATTTATAGTTTTAAGTTGGCCAGTTTTTATTGTGGTTTTGCTGTTTACTTTGTTGACCTTCTAGTATGTTTTGACAGTTTGATTTACCAAGAACTGTAAAAGTATGATGGAAGTGTGTTATCAAATATCTTTAGCAAATTAATCCCTGTGCACAGCAGTGTTTAAGAGGTTTTGATCCATGATTTTGTATTGTCATTTGACTGTTTAGGACAAGGCTTTTCAACTTTTTCACCCATTGTACCACTTTTAGGATATGGCAATATCCGAGTACCACCAGTCGCCTAGCAAGGTGTCAAAAACTTGATGACCAAAAAAAAAAAAAGGAAAAAAGTGAGAAAGTACAGGTAGTCCTTAACTTACAACAGTTCGCTTAGTGACTGTTTGAAGTTACAATGGCACTGAAAAAAGTACCCCCCAAGCCACAGCCGAGCAAGACACCTGCCTGCCCGCCCGGCGGCACTCTTCCTCCTGTCCGAGGTTTTCATTGTTGTGAGCATTTCTGTTGAGGATTGGCAGCGGGGGTGGGGTGGGGGGTGTTTGGTTTTTATTCCCCCGTCTGCTGGGTGGTTGCAGCAGGTTTTGGTCACTTCACAAGACTGTGACTGTCATAAATATGAATCAGTTGCCAAGTATCTGAATGTAAATCACAAGACCCTGGAGATGCTGCAACATTCCAGCTGATTGGTGCTTCTTCAGGGCTCGGCAGAAGCACCAGGATCAGTGCCAAGCGCCAGCTGGAGCCTGACGCTGATCCTGGTGCTTCCACTGAGCCCTGACAGCCCCGAAGAAGCGCCGATCAGCTGGAAAGCGGCACTGATCCTGGCGCTTCCGCTGAGCTAGAACTAAGGAGAAACTTCCTGACAGTGAGAACAATTAACCAGTGGAATAACCTGCCTCCAGAAGCGGTGAATGCACCAACACTGGAAGTTTTTAAGAAGAAACTGGACAGCCATTTGTCCGAAATGGTATAGGGTTTCCTGCCTGAGCAGGGGGTTGGACTAGATGACCTCCAAGGTCCCTTCCAACTTTATCATTATTATTATCTCTCGCTCAGGCTTGTGCGGTGCTACCACCGGTTCAGCTCATTCCCCTCCCCCGCTACCACTTTTCTAGGATGGCCGCGTACTACCTGCCAGGTGCCAATGTACCACAGGTGGTACCCGTACCACTGGTTGAAAAGCCCTGGTTTAGGAGAACGGTGTTTAAGAGAACTTATTGAGTGCTTTTTTTGGTGCAAAGGAAACTGGTGTCCCTGTTTAAGGCTTAGACTTGTCTGTAGTTGCTGACATGCAACTAATGTTGGCTTTAATTAATTTTGGTTTCATTCATGTAACTTTACTGGAGAGCTCTCCAGTCTATTCCTGTACTGATCTATTGTGTGAGGGTTCGATCCATTCATAAGCTTTTTTATATTTGGTGAGAAACATAAGAATACATCCCTTGTGGAAGAGTCTATTGACAATTTTCTATTGATCCTTTTTAAAATTGTCTGCTAGCCCCCTTTTTTGAGGATTCCCTTCCCCTTTTTGAATCCCCTTCTCCCGTGCTTCTTGGAAGACTTACCAAAGATCTGAAATGAGTCCAGATATTAGTCTAAAGATTAGTCTTAGGGATCTTACCAGTTTTAAAGAAAAAACGGATCTTCTATACGAAGGCCACGTCTCCATGAATTTGATCAACTGAATGTTGAGGTCTACATTTTCAAGTGCAAAGACCAAATTAATTGTGCTAGTATTTACAGTTCTAAGCAGATATGATAATTTGGGAATCGGGTATTCTGAATGTGCAGGCATACACAGGCAGAGCTAGCGCAGAATAAAATGAACCAAGGTGGAGAATTAAAGGTTTGTCTCCATCCTTGTCATTCCATTGTCTGTCTGTAGGTGTCCTCACTTTCCCTATTTCTAAGCAAGAAACTGCCGCTCCGTTTCAGAAGCGTCTTAAAAAGGATAGGAATACAGTACTTATTTGTAGCATTGGATGTTTTCGTAAATAAAAAAGTTTCTCGTTCACATAAATCAAAAAATACAACGATCCCAAATTTCCTTTCCCTTTCTTACATTTGCATTTGCTGCCATGTTTAATCCCTACATTTCATTTTATTATATTCCAATTATTTCCCAGCAGCAACGTAAAAAAACCCCAAAACCCTCTTTTAATTTAGGCAGTTGGATGGATACAAAAAAAGGGGGGTGGAAATAGGAGCAGAGTTTTGGGGAAAGAGCTGAAAATCCTCAACCTTCATCAGTGGCCCCAAAGGATAGCTTGATCAATATTTAATGGTATTAAATGATACTGATAATATTGAATGCTGCTGAAAAACATGATGAGACCAGAAGTGTACTATTCTTATCCAAGTCCCTATTCAAGTTCTAAATAAGAACAGCCAACAAGATTTTCATTGCATGCCAAAGACTGAAGCTGAACTAAAAGGGATGTAGATAATCCATCCTGGACTTAACAATTGTAGCAACATTTCTTAAAAAGAGAAGATTTGGGATTTGTAAGATGGCTATAGGACAGCGATGGCGAACCTTTTAGAGACCAAGTGCCCAAAAACTGGCCCCACCCCCACTCCACCCCCTGTCCCGCCCCCACTTTGCCCCCACCACGCCTGCCCGCAGGGCCACTCACTACCTCCAGGGCCCGCCGCAGATTGCCCAGGCAGCCCAGCAGCGACATGGCGGCCACGCCCTCTGCCCGTGCCCCGCAGCATCAACTGTGCGCGGTGGGGCATGAGGGCAGAGTCTTGTCTACACTGCCTGGCTGCCATGCCCTTGGCTGCGCTGCTCTTCATGGGCCACGCTCAGGGGCGACTCTCCAGGGGGGCTGCTGGTGAGGAGGGGGTTGTGGGGGGAGGCAAGGTTGGGGCAACGGCACGTGTGCGCACAGAGAGGGCTCCAAGTGCCGCCTCTGGTACCCGTGCCATAGGTTCGCCACCACTGCTATAGGAGAAGAGCAAACAGAGCTGGGGGTGGCGTTAAGCAAGCCACCAGCCTAGAATCTTTAAGTTCCCATAAATGGTCCAAATCCAATGCCTCTTGAATTCCATTGACCTTTATCTGGTGCCAATTCAATATTTAATTTTAGTTGACTATATTATTGGGTATAGGCTTGAGCAATAAATCTTCCGAATTGAAACTTATATGTTACCCTGATTCTTGCTGTCTGACAGTGGCTGAGTTGAATAATAGTTTGTGGAGGAGGGGGTGAGCGGACATTTTCTTCAAGGCTGGCAGCATCACCCCATTCCTCAAGGGGGCATCACTACCTCCCTCAACTAACACGTTACATTCCCTCTTTGATTAACTGAACAAGCCAGTTTGTTGCAGTAGTGTCTGCCTGTATGATAAAAAAAAAAAACGCTCCTAGATTGGAGCTAAAAGCAATAAGTAGATTGCTTTGTACAGCCCAAATCATTTTTTAACATTCTTTCTCTTTCAAAAACCAATTTAGCTTTCCACTCTCTCAGTCCGTGCATAGCATGGCATTATGACAGGAGCTGGCTCAAAATTCTCTGAGCCGATTTAATAAAAATACAAGAGAAACAGGGAAGGATTTCTGGGGACTCTCCTGATGTCGGTATGTTTGTTTTGTTTTTCTAGGGATACTTGGCAGCAAAGAGGTGTATGTTTTTAATCTAACCTCCCTCACAAAGTCCGAAAACATCTTGTCGGCTCTGTTGCATTACTACGTTGGAGATCTCCAGAACAGCAGCACCCACTGCCCTCAACCCAACACCTGTTCTCATCTGGGCCCCCCAAAATCTGAGCTACAGATCAGGCTTTTGCTGTTCAGTTCTCTGTCATCAGCAAACCAGTCTCGGACCCTGGGGCGTTACTTGGTCAACATCTCGACTGCTTTGCAAGATGACCATTTGTGGCAATGCAAAAACATCACTCAGGACTTGAGCCGAGCAAAGGAGCGCGACCATCTCATGATCGGGGTCCAAATGGCCTCTGTTGGCCAGCCTCCGTGGAAGAGCCTCCATCTCCGCTATGAACCCTACATCCTTGTCTATGCCAACGATTCCGCCATTTCAGAACCGGAGAGCGTGGTTTCCAGCTTGCAAGGCCATTGGAATCCGCCGCCTGGGACATCCCCCAAATTGGACAGCCGGTCAATCAGTGACCTCAGTGGACAGCGGCCCAAACGTTCCACCAGCTTCCTTCTCCCCTTGCAGAACAACGAGCTTCCAGGAGCCGAGTATCAGTATAGTGAGGACGAAGGATGGGAGGAGAGGAAGCACTACAAAACCCTGCAGCCACGGCTGGCAGAAAGGGCAAAGGGTAAGAAAAAGCCCAGAAAACACAGTCATCCGAAGAGCCAGACGCTCCAGTTTGATGAGCAGACCTTGAAAAAGGCACGGCGGAAGCAGTGGAATGAACCAAGATCTTGTTCGAGGCGCTATCTCAAAGTAGATTTTGCCGATATAGGCTGGAGCGAATGGATCATTTCTCCTAAATCTTTTGATGCTTATTACTGCTCAGGTGAATGCCAGTTCCCTATTCCGAAGGTACCGTATCTCTTTTTTTTAAAATTTCATTTCTTTCTTCTTCTTCTTTTTTAAAAATGGGGTTTTTTTTCGTTACCACTGGGTACAATATGAAGAAAATCCACTCTTTTAGCAGTCCGAATGTGGCTTTGTTAAAAAAAAAAACCACAATAAAAAACCCAGCTTGCTTGTTATTAAGCTACAGTACAGCATGCAGGAAATGGGCCATTTACTAGATAGATAGGATAAATAAATATCTGTTTTTAAGGGCCACTGCTGTCAAAACTAAGTGCAAAGGCAAAACTGGTTGATGCAGGGTTATAAAAACAAAATTACAGAGGAGAAATGCATCAAATCTTACAGTAAATCCCGTGTCAATTTCTTGCTGCATAATAATGATGCCTGAACTCCTAAATTTAGTTAATTGCTGCTAATCCCATCCCCTGGTGCCAGTTTCTAAAAATATAATAATGTTTAATTCTGGGTGAAAGTTGCAGCTTCTTTCTAAAATGTGCTTTTCTGAAAAATAAGCGCTCCGTATGGATTTAGGATGCCACAGGCCAGGAGAGTCCAGAGGGTAAAGAGATTGCAACCAAGTTTCAGTGGTTTAGATTATGCCCAATAGTTCAGTCAAATCCTTTGAATGGATGTCATGCATCCATTCTCTCCTATCTCAAAGACTTGCTGTCCTTCCATTGCCTCCAATGTCAACAAGCTTCTGCTGGCGTAAAGTCTAGAGAAATTTCTTGAAACTCATTAATAATTCTCCCAATTAGAAAACAAACAAAGGAAATATTCCATAAATCATAAAGTCAGTCCCATCCGATAATGTGCAGGGTTGGCATGAATAGAATAGAATAGAATAGAATAGAATAGAATAGAGTAGAGTAGAGTAGGGTAGGGTAGGGTAGGGTAGGGTAGAGTAGAGTAGAGTAGAGTAGAGTAGAGTAGAGTAGAGTAGAGTAGAGCTGGAAGGGACTTTGGAGGTCTTCTAGTCCAGCCCCCTGCTCAAGCAGGAGAACCTATACCATCTCAGACAAGTGACTGTCTAGCCTCTTCTTAAAAACCTCCAGTGATGGAGCACCCACAATTTCTGAAGACAACTTCTGTTCCACTGGTTAATTGTCCTCACTGTTAGGAAGTTTCTCCTTAATTCCAGGCTGCTTCTCTCTTTGATCAGTTTCCAGCCATTGTTTCTTGTCCTGCTCTCTTGGTGCTTTGGAGAATAATTTGACCCCGTCTTCTTTGTGGCAGCCCCTCAAATACTGGAACATTCCTATCATGTCTCCCCTATTTCTTCTTTTCTTTAGACTAGCCAAACCCAAGTCCTGCAGCCGTTCTTTGTATGTTTTAGTCTCCAGGCCTTTGATCATTTTTGTTGCTCTTCTCTGAATTTTTTCCATGGTGCATGGTGCAAGGAAGTTGTTGAAAGAAAATATAGATAGTCCTTGATTTACAACCATTTCTTTAGTGACCATTTGAAGTTGCAATGGCATGAAAAAGGTGATTTATGACCATGTTACTTACACGTACGACCGTTGCAGCATCCCCGTGGTCATGTGATCAAAATTCGACCGCTTGGCCACTGACTCATATTTATGACAGTTGCAGTGTCATGTGATCCCCTTTTATAACGTTCTGACAAGGAAAGACAATGGGAAAGCCAGATTGACTTAACAACCATGTTACTAACTTAACAACTGCAGTGATTCACTTAACAACTGTGGCAAGAAAGGCTGTAAAATGGGGCAAAGCTCATTTAGCAACTGTTTTGCTTAGCAACAGAGATTTTGGGTTCAATGGTAGTTGTAAGTTGAGGACTACCTGAATTAAGATGATCTCAAATGCACCCAGTAACCAGCACCAGGTTGATAGTGAGATGGTATTATTGGATAAAGTCAGAAGCTTTGCACACTCCTCAAATGTCATTCAAATCACAACGGCATTCGTTTAAATCGGATGACATTCTCAAATGTATTCTATGTACATTGATTCCTTTAGCAACTGCTCTGCCTAAAACGGCATTAAGGCGATCTGCATAACCTGAGCATTGTGCCAACCAGTTAAAATACATAATCAAGCAACTGCTTTGTATAGACAGTTGTACACCAGGAATAGTTTTGGAGCATGCCTAATATTTGAGTGGTGTCCCTAAGTAAATGCAATCAAAAGTTGATGTAATTTTACATGTATTAACTGCAGCAAGAATTGTATTTGCCCAATATTGGAAAAACGAAAATTTACCAACTGAAGAAGAATTAATTCAGAAAACCCTAGAGCAGTGATGGCGAACCTTTCAGAGACCGAGTGCCCAAACTGCAACCCAAAACCCACTTATTTATCGCCGGGTGCCAGGTGGGCATGGCCCACTGGGTGGGCGTGGCTGTGGTGTTCATGGCAGACTGAGTGGGTGTGGCCAAGGTGTTGCTCGATGTTGCTCGTGGGGAGGGATACCTGTGGGGGCCGGGCAGGGTTGGGGGAAATCCAGGGGGTCTCTGGCAGGTGGGGTGGTGGGCAGGAGGCTCATCCTGTGGGGTGAGGCAAGGTGAGGCAGGGCAGGGGAGCCATTGTCGCAGGGCAAGGTGAGGCAGGGGCCGGGGTGGCTGCTGCCTAACACCATTGGCCCCTGCACACAGAGGCCAGCGAGCGCATGGGTGCTGGGATGCATCCAGCCACGTAGATCTCGGCAAGTTAGCGGGCAGCTGGTTGAAGAGGGACGGTTGCCATCTCCGGAGCATGGCATGCGTGCCCACAGAGAGGGCTCTGAGTGCCGCCTCTGGCACACATGCCATAGGTTCACCACCACTGTCCTAGAGTGTGCAGAAATGGATAGATTGACTTTAAAGATAAAAGAGAAAGATGACTCAGTGTATTTTAGAACATGGGATAATTTTTATCAATGGCTAGAAAAACGAGTTAGAGAGAAAGGAATGTGGTATGTAACGTTGAATATATACAGTACTAGTAAGAAGAAGACTGTCAAGCAATTAATTAATGTATTGTTTATGATAATTAGTTAATACTCATTGGGTTTTTTTCTTTTTAAATACATGCACCCAGACATGTTCTTTGCTAAATGTTAAGAATGCTATTTCAAAAAATCCTAACCCTGACCCCAACCCCGACCCCACCCTGTTCCTAATCCTATAAAAACTAATAAAACATTAAAAAAAAGTTGATGTAATCTAGAGAAAAGTACACTGGACAGCCACTCATCTGAAATGGTATAGGCCAGGGGTAGGCAACCTTGGCTCTTTTATGACTCGTGGACTTCAACTCCCAGAATTCCTGAGCCTGCATAGCTCAGCTTGGAAACTCTCCTTTTCCCCTCAGCATGGCTGGCTCAGGAATTCTGGGAGTTGAAGTCCACGAGTCATAAAAGAGCCAAGGTTGCCTACCCCTGGTATAGGGTCTCCAAGGTCCCTTCCAGTTTTATTCTGATTGATTGGTACAATTCAAATTGCATTAAAGTAATGAACGGCATTGATGGCCTTCCCTAATTCATCATTTTCTCCCTCTGCCACGTTCAAAAATTACAATTTGGAGGGACCATTTGCAGGTTGTCCGCAGCCTCACTTTAGGCAGTTCTGTTGCATTTCTACATATTGGTATTTGCCCTGGTGGTTAACGTTTGGATTATGTCAGCGCTCTATATTTCCTTTCCTTCTCCAGATCCACATATCCAGCCAGACACTTCCATGCAAGGGTGCACTGAGAACGTGTATAATCACCAATATATATTCAGTTTCACTGCAGGCTTGCTAAGGTTTCAGGGTAGCAAGTGAATGTCAATGAATAATAGGCTACGTGCATGGAACCACCGTGCATTGCTCCAGATTCTGTTTGAAAGAGAGCCTCTGCAGTGCAGGCGGGTATCTTAATGAGTTGTCAACAAGCTGTGTTTGCATTCCTGCATGTTCTGAAGAACGGCTTCTGAATTGCAGCGGATGAGAGAGGCAGTGCTTGGAAGCTGGTGATATGAAGAGCAGAGTTTCCCTGCCTTAAGTTCCAGGTGTGACTCGGTCTGAAACAAGTGCTTTTCCCGTACCATCATAATAATAATAATAATAATAATAATAATAATAATAATAATAATAATAATAATAATAATAATAATAATAATAATAATAATAATAATAATAATAATAATAAAGTTGGAAGGGACCTTGGAGGTCATCTAGTCCAACCCCCTGCTCAGGCAGGAAACCCTACACCATTTCGGGCAAATGGCTGTCCAGTCTCTTCTTAAAAACTTCCAGTGTTGGAGCATTCACTGCTTCTGGAGGCAGGTTGTTCCACTGGTTAATTGTTCTCACTGTCAGGAAGTTTCTCCTTAGTTCCAGGTTGCTTCTCTCTTTGGTTAGTTTCCATCCGTTGCTTCTTGTCCTGCCTTCAGGCGCCTTGGAGAATAGCTTGACTCCCTCTTCTTTGTGGCAGCCCCTGAGATATGGGAACACTGCTATCCTGTCCCCCCTCGTCCTTCTCTTCATTAAACTAGACATACCCAATTCCAGCAGCCTTTCCTTATATGCTTTAGCCTCCAATCCCCTGATCATCTTTGTTGCTCTTCTCTGTACTCTTTGTAGCGTCTCAGCATCTTTTTTACATCGTGGTGAAGCTGGTATCTGCCTGGACTGTTTCTTTGCTTTTATTAGTTTATAATATAAAATACAAAAGCAAATAACAGGGCAAAATAGGGGACGGAAGAAGGAAGAGACAAGTGTAAAGAAGTTGGAAAAAAGAAAAAAAAAGATTGACTTCCAACTCCCTTTGATTGCGGTAGAATAAAATAGTAACCTCAAACCTCAACTTTTTACTTTCTTTAACACAGTGTTTCTCAACCTTGACAATTTTAAGGCATGTGGACTTCAACTCCCAGAATTCCACAGCCAGCATTGCTGGCTGTGGAATTCTGGGAGTTGAAGTCCACATGCCTTAAAATTGTCAAGGTTGAGAAACACTGCCAGGAAAAGCTTTTTTCGTGATCTGAAGCACCCTCCTTACAAAAGCTTCATTTCATCAAGTACCTGGATGATAGTAAGAGACAACTGAGCTTAAATGAGAAGGACGGGGAAGGCTAGATTTTCATTTTGAATGTTTGGCTTTACTTTAGGACCATTTTTTCCCCTCAGGGCTAGCTGGACAATTGCTTTGGAAAGAATTTTCCCCAGCTGGCATGGCCTTGTGACAACAGGACGTTTGTCTGGATATTTACTGACATTTGTTTTATTTCCCTCTGCCATTTTGTGACCTTTCACCAAGCCTTCAAGGCAGCTAGCAATTATTTTTAACAACTTGGGTCATTGAGAAAATTGCATAACATCAAAATATTAAGTCAGACAAACCAAAACATAATCAGTACCGTCATGACAGTTCACTCAGGCAGCTGATGTCACATTTCCCAAACCATCTTTCTGCTGCTGTTTCTCCCTTTATTTGCACTTTCCACCAAATTATGTTTATGGTGGTTTCCCTTTCCTGAAAGATGGATGTGATTTTAAAGCTGTTTCGCATCGTTTTCCTGCACTATTTCCTTATACTTTAGTAAGGGGAAAAGATAGCTTTTTCAGCATGAAAATGAACGTATGTCTTTTTTCCTGAGATTTTTCATCATTTTGTAACATTTTAAAAGGACATGGTATATGCATGCAGCTAAGAGAATCTTAAAAAAGAAAAAAGTAACTTTAAATGGCAACATAGGTTTTGCAGTATTCCCCCAGATGAAGTTCTATAGGTGAGTTGTGGCACCTGTTCATACCTTAAAAACTTTTTAAGAGCTTAGAAATTAGCCTTTTAAAAAAAAGTCCTTTAGAAAGATGGGGCTACCACAGAAAAGGCCCTGTTGCCAGAAGCATAATAGAACTTAAATGCGGACTTGGAAGCTGAGCTACTGAAGATATTGTTAAATTATGGAACTTTAAGCCTTTTAAAGTTCAATATAGTTCCAGGCCTGAGGCCTGAAAATAAACATGTATTGCATTTTTGACTGTCTAGTTCCCACAAACTCTCTAGCAAGATCTGTAGGAGAAGGACAGGCAGAGCCTGTTCGGGGTGGGGGGAGTCAAGTGAGGAATCAGCCTGGAATCATTACGTTCCCACAAGTAATCTAATTCCAAACCCTCTTGAATTCTATTAACTCTTAACTAGCACCAATTTAATGCTGGCCATTAGTTGTCTAGATAATCGTGTATAGGCCTGAGCAACAATTCAGCTTAACTGGAAATTAATGTGTACAGGTAGTCCTCATGACCACAATTGAGCCCAAAATTTCTGTTGTTAAGTGAGACATTTGTTAAGTGAGTTTTGCCCCATTTTACGACCTTTCTTGCCACAGTTGTTAAGTGAATCACTGCAGTTGTTAAGTTAATAACATGGTTGTTAAGTGAATCTGGCTTCCCCACTGACGTTGCTTGTCAGAAGGTCGCAGAAGGGGAACACATGACTCCGGCACACCGCAGCGGTCATAAATATGAGTCAGTTGTCAAGCATCTGAATTTTGATCACGGGGATGCTGTAAAGATTGTAAGTTTGAACTTGGTTTTAAGTTACTTTTTTCAGTGCTGTTGTAATATGGAACGATCATTAAACAAACTGTTGTAAGTCTAAGACTACTACCTGTAATCGTGATTCTTCACACCCGACACAATTTCAAATTGTTGAACTTCTTTAGGAATTTCAAATTCTTCCTTAATAATTTGCTACATATCATTTTATTATATTTCAGTTCTGTTATTTGTTTTATTACAAAAACTCCCCTTTCAATAAGATGTTTGTATTAAATATTTTGTTAATAAGCATATTGGTTCAGGCTTGCAAATGCATTTTGGAAATAATAGTAATCCACAGATAAGGTTTTTTTTCCCCATCCCATCTGTTCCGACTGTATTAGTCATCTGCAGTTATACTGACAATTTATTTATGCAAAATCTTGGTCAGTGGGATGTGATTCATGGGAAGCACAAGCAACCAAGCAAAAAGAAAAGAGGAAATAGGGGAGACATGATAGCAATATTCCAGTATTTGAGGGGCTGCCACAAAGAAGAGGCCGTCAAGTTATTCTCCAAAGCCCCAGAGGGCAGGACAAGAAACAATGTTTGGAAACTGATAAAAGAGAGAAACAACCTGGAATTAAGGAGAAACTTCCTAACAGTGAGGACAATCAACCAGTGGAACAGCTTGCCCCCAGAAATCGTGGGTGCTCCATCACTGGAGGCTTTTAAGAAGAGACTAGACCTTCACCTGTCTGAGATGGTATAGGTTCTCCTGCTTGAGCAGGGGGCTGGACTAGAAGACCTCCAAGATCCCTTCCAGCTTCTATTCTATTCTATTCTATTCTATTCTATTCTATTCTATTCTATTCTATTCTATTCTGTACTCTAGAAAGAGTACAGAGAAGAGCAACAAAGATGATTAGGGGACTGGAGGCTAAAACATACGAAGAATGGTTGCTGGAATTGGGTATGAAGAGAAAGATGAGGGGGGACATGATAGCAGTGTTCCAATATCTCAGGGGCTGCCCCAAAGAAGAGGGAGTCAAGCTATTCTCCAAAGCAGCTGAAGGCAGGACAAGAAGCAACAGATGGAAACTAATCAAGGAGAGAAGCAACCTAGAACTAAGGAGAAACTTCCTGACAGTTAAACAATTAACCAGTGGAACAACCTGCCTCCAGAAGCGGTGAATGCTCCAACACTGGAGGTTTTTAAGAAGAGACTGGGCAGCCATTTGTCCGAAATGGTATAGGGTTTCCTGCCTGAGCAGGGGGTTGGACTAGATAACCTCCAAGGTCCCTTCCAAACTACTACTACTACTACTTCTTCTTCTTCTTCTTCTTCTTCTTCTTCTTCTTCTTCTTCTTCTTCTTCTTATTATTATTATTATTATTATTATTATTATTATTATTATTATTATTCTCTTCTCTTCTCTTCTCTACTCTACTCTACTCTACTCTACTCTACTCTACTCTACTCTACTCTACTCTACTCTACTCTACTCTATTCTATTCTAATGTGCTCCCGGGATAAAGACAAGGTAGTTAAGTCATTGTACAATTGTCTCTTCGGTAATCTGCAAACTTTGGCTTCTCAACTCTTTAATTAAAAATTCTTTAGAAAAAGAAATACTCTCAACAGAATGTTTGAAAGAGAAAAAGTTGTTTCAGTTTACCTTAAAACCTTATCCAGATGATATTTTGAGAGAGGCTGGGCATCTCTTCTAGGTGTCAAAGTTCTTCTGACTTTTTGAAAGATCACAAGAGGCCACCCATCAGTCCGTGACACAACATAGATTGGGACATAGATTGATTTTTGGGATAGGGGGCTAAGGGAATTAGAAGTGGGAATAGAAGGAGGCAGGTATCTATGGGGATTCTCAGTCACCCAGGTCATGGTTATCCCAAAGGTGCTTTTTCAGGCGGCAATTGTTGTTGTTTTTCTTTGAAGACGTGTTGCTTCTCATCCAAGAAGCTTCTTCAGCTCTGACTGAATGGTGGGGAAATGGAAGGATTTATACTCCTTGCAGACAACTGGTCATTTGCATTCCTTTACAGAGTCATTGAGGCCACTTGGAGGTTTACCTGTATCCTCAGGGTCCCCTGCAGCAGTGGAAATGTGTGTGGAGCCTTCTTGGCTGCAGGATGTTTTCTGCCCTGTGTCCCTTCACTGACTCATCCCCAACAGCCCATGCCTGTCTTCAACAGTGAAGGGACATTCTTTTTAGTTTTCTTCTGCCAATATTTATTCAGTTTTACAGAAGACAAATTGTTTACAAATTATTGCAAAGGAGAAGAGAACTCTGGGAATTTCTTTCAGGGGTGCGATGTGATGGAGAGCTAGCCATGAGCTGTTTGGAATGACTTTGTCTTTCATGATACAATCATCCTTGTGGTCTTCAGCCTCCCAGTTTCTCATTAAATCCTAAGGGAAGCCCTCAAGAAGAACCTCCTCAAAACATCTTCAGAAGGACTTGCAGCTGCCCCCACCGAACAGGTTGTCCTTTCTGGAGAAATTATTGGAACTTTGAAGAACTTTGGAAAAATCAACTACTCAATTTCTCAACCTCAAATTTACATAAAGGTTTTTTTAAAGGTCTTGTTGTGCTTACCTTTCAATAATTTGTGGGATTTGATATTTATTCTTCATGGATTCAGGGACAGTGATTCCTAACCAATCGCTTTCAGATCTACCTCTAGGACAGGGTTTTTCATCCTCAACAGCTTTTAAGATATATGGACTTCAACCTCCTATAATTCTCCAGCCAGCACTGACTGGGACAATTCTGGAAACTGAAGTCCATATATATATCTTCAAGTTGCTGAGGTTGAGAAACACTGCTCCAGGAAAATGCCGTTTCCCAGCTGAATTGATAACCATTTGATAACGTTTGCAGTACAGGTAGTCCTCGATTTGCAACCACAATTGAGCCCAATATTTCTGTTGTTAAATGAGACATTTGTTAAATGGGTTTTGCCCCATTTTACAACCTTTCTTGCCACAGTTGTTAAGTGAATCACTGCAGCTATTTAGTGGCACAATTGTTAAGCGAACCTGGCATCCTCATCGACTTTGCTTGTCAGAAGGTCGCAAAAGGAGATCACATGACCCTGGGACACTGCCACCATCATAAATATGAACCAATTGACAAGTGTCCACATTTTGATCACATAACCTCAGGGACACTACATGTAAGTGTGAAAAATGGCCATAAGTCCCTTTTTTCAACGCCGTTGTAACTTTGAACGGTCACTGAACAAACTGTTGTAAGTCAAGGGCTACCTGTAGACATCTGTCCATCATTCATTGTGAAGAACCCAGTGTTTTGTGCCCTGTTGGCCATGTATTGAGTTTTCTTATTTATCTTCTTCTCCACAGGCCCTGAAGCCATCAAACCACGCAACAATTCAGAGCATAGTGAGAGCCGTAGGGGTGGTTTCTGGCATCCCGGAGCCTTGCTGTGTTCCAGACAAGATGTCACCTCTCAGCATTTTATTCTTTGATGAAAACAAAAATGTGGTACTCAAAGTGTATCCAAATATGACAGTGGAATCCTGCGCCTGCAGATAACATATTCCTGCTTTCTACAGCGACTTTGTTGCTTCATAAAGCCTCTCCTCTTTCCATTTTCCAAAGCATATCGTTGTCCAGTTTTATGAATGGATAAGTAAGCAAGAGCTGAGAAGGAACATGGAATAAGTTTCCTCAACTGTAATTTTCCTACTGTGAGCATAGGGAAGGAAGTTTGGAAAGCTCACCACAGGGGCAAACAATGTGGGGAGGTCTCGGTGGTGGTGGGGAAATAGGAAAATGAAAACTAGAAAGAATTCATCAGGAACTGAAGATTAGCAGGAAAGTACGATATATATATTTAAGCTATGTTTGAAGAGCGTTTACTCAAGCTGCTGGTTTTCCAATGTACTCTTCCAGAATGTGATGGTGAAGGAGATTTAATATCCACCTTGTGCTTTTGAAGCTAAGCTTTCTAATTTAGGTTATCCAAAGACTCAAAATATACCATAAGCTAGTAAGATCCTACTTCCCATATTTCAAAGAGTCTAAAAAATTTTTTTTAACCTGTTGGTTTTCCTGGCATAACATGTCAGTAGTGTTCTGTTCTACCCCTCACATAAGCACGGGCTTTCCTTCTTAAAATTATAGGCACTTTTTATCTGAAAGCAGAAATGCACTTCTGGTGCATATTTAGTAAAGATCGAGATACCTTACATCTCTGTTTGCTATAAAATCTTGAACCTTGATCTCTTATCTCAGTACTGAATATCAGAAAAAAGTGATTAAACGGGGTAGAGTGGCAGAAAAGAAGGCAGATTTTAATTTGCCAGTCAATTATGCTAGCCAATAATTGTAATGACCATTTCACAATGGGATTTGTGAAACTTATACATGTTCAGGATATTATAGGCAGGGAGTCAAGATGGCAGCCATGGCCGTAGGATTGAAGCTGCCATTTTGACTTTTTATTAGCCTGCTATAGAGAACCTGACATAATAGTCACTCTGTGAGGGAGACTGATGGTTTGTAAATTTGATATATGTATAAATAAAACAATTGTCTACTCAAGGCCCAGTAGGAGTAGCTTCCAGGGTAATGAGTATAAAATTGCAGCCTATCCGGGTGATGATCTCTACAAAGTGAAGTCAAGGATTAAAACAAATATAGCAAATATGTTTAATGCGTGACCCATTTGGGAAGGGAGCAGGTAAGTTCTTAACTAGGACCCAGATCATGAAAGTTGAGATGCCACTCCTTGATTTATTGGGTTGATTTTGACACGCTGTATGAACTTAGCCATTGGAGTTTGTGAAGATGATCTGTGGCTATATAAGCTAGGTGAATTGTGATGTATTTAATGAACTATGATTAAATCGTGGCTTAGCAAGATGTATGAACTCAGCTTTGCTCTCAGAATCTATTTCAGTGTGAAGTTAGTTAGTTAGAGGCAGTTGTCCCAATATACGGTATCCATATGTGTTGCAGAAAGGGGTGCCCGTGGAGGAACAGTCAAGATGGCAGCCACCATAGAAGCATAGCTATTAGAAGCAAGCGGCCATCACTTGTCATGAAAAGCCAAAGCCAGTAGCTTTAGGGTTTGCCACACATATTATAAGAATCTCCTCAGACTGCTTGCCTTCTCGGGAATGACCGGATAAAGCTTCATGGATTTGGGGGGAGGTCAAGCTTATACTGCTTGCAGAATCAAGTATTCCAAGCTAAGCCCTCATTTGACCCCTCCTTCCAGGTTAACTGCCAATTTTCCAACACTTGTCTTCTTTACACGCATCATGCCTGTAAAACTCATTTAAAATGGGTGGGGCTTCAAAGTTGTCCTAACCGCCATCTTGACATTTTTCACACCCCCGTCTCAATGACCACATGCATAACTTTGTAGAACATCGATCTTGGATCCCCAAACTTGGCAACTTTAAGATTTGTTGACTTCATGGCTAGATGAGGAATTCTGGGAGTTGAAGTCCAAAAGTCTTGAAGTTGCCAAGTTTGGGGAGGTTAGGATCTGGGTTCAAATCTACCACTGCATCTTCTGCATCTTACAGAAGATGGAAAGTGCCTTCCACACTGCTGAAAACCTGGGACAATTTTCTTACATTCAGGCAAACCTGTAGCAGTGCAAATGGGGTTTTTCAGCTTTAATTTCTAGAGAGGTGAGTTGCAGATTCGGGAGGGTAAATACTGCCTAAGTGAACAACCAATTCATTTGTGATTAATCTTACCACCTCCTCGTCTATGTAAAATGTATATAAAGACTTTTGTACATTTTTTTTTGTTTAGGAATAAATGCTTGTACAGTTGGCATCAGTAAAGTTTTTAAAAAGCCAAAGGATATTTGTATATGGAAAGAAGCTTTTATCAATGCATTTAATTTATTTCTAATGCATATGTTAATTAATTTCTGCATTTTAGTAGTCTTAAAACACACAGCGGTTTTTATATTAATTTTGAAAAATTATATATCTATATATCTGCCTTCAAACATAAATGTGTATATCCCAGATCACAAAGAAGAATATTTTCTCTGCTAATATATAAGCTTGTTTGATTTGTTTGTTTCTCTCCTTTAGTTAACAATGCTTTTTTCCCCCACTGCATATTATTGTGTACAAGATTGTGTTTTTGAAAAACAGCTTAGTATGAAGTTTAGGATTCTTGTTTATTTTCTAGTAACTACAAAAATACTCATGACAAAAATCACAGTCCACAATTGTTAAAGAGAGGGATGTGGAAGAATATTTTTTTTTATTTGTCTGCATTAATTCTAAGCTACTTAATTCACACTTCCTGGGGGTTGGACTAGATGAACTCCAAGGTCCCTTCCAACTTTACTATTATTATTATTATTATAAATACTGATAGTCCTTGATTTATGACTACATGAGCCCAAAACTCCTGTTGCTAAGCAAGACAATAAGTGAGTTTTGCACCATTTTATGACTTTTCTTGCCCCAGTTAATTGAATCACTGCAGTTGTTACGTTAGTAGCTACCCATCTTGCCAAGAGGCAACTCTGGATGGCTTACATCCAAGTAAAAACAAGATAAAACATTAAACCTTAAAATAATAACTATCAACATTAAAATTGAGTTAAAATTAGCAAAGTTAGCCTCTTTGAGGCAGAGAAGAAAGACAAAGTATCATTCAACTGTGCAAATAAATAAAATTTTAGAAACTTATGTTATAGCCAGCTTGCTCTAGTGCAGGGGTAGGCAACCTTGGCTGTTTTATGACTCGTGGACTTCAACTCCCAGAATTCCTGAGCAGCCATGCTGAGGGGAAAGGGAGAGGTTTCCAAGCTGAGCCATGCTGGCTCAGGAATTCTGGGAGTTGAAGTCCACGAGTCATAAAAGAGCCAAGGTTGCCTACCCCTGCTCTAGTGGTTAAGGCTCCAGACTAGAAAGCAGAAGATGATGAGTTTAAGTTTTGCCTTTTATTTTATTGTCTATCAGCCATGGTGTTTCCCTTTCATGTTTGAGCACAAGAGATGGCCCTGTCAAGCTGGGCTTCTTAATACAGTAATTCCATTTTTATATAATAGAAACCAATGGGTCAGGCTTGAAAAACCAGGCTTATATGTAACTTTGTAACTTACATAAAATTGTAACTTCAGAAGATTTATTGCTCAGGCCTATACACAGGAATCTAATCAACTTGTGGCCTTCCAAATCGGTGCTAGATAAGAGTTAAAGGGATTCAAGAGAGGCTAGTCTTGGATCACTTTTGGCAACGTAAGGACTCCAGACTGATTACTCTCTTGACTCCACCTCTTCTGCATAATGTTGCTCCTAAGCCAGACATTTCAAACACAAGGCCCGGGGGCCGGATGCGGCCTGCAACGTTTCATGTGGCCCACGAAGCCATCCTGGAAACAGTGAGGGAACGGCCCCTGCTGCCTTGGCCCCCGCCCAGGCCGGCCGGGAACCAGTGTACAATTTTGTGGTGGCCATCTATGCTGAAATGCATTCAGTCTTAGCTCCACAAGGCCATCTGGAAACAGCGAGGAACCAGCCCTGCCGCGTCAGCCCCGCCCCCTGGGTGCATGCTGGGGAGGTGTCACCCTTTGTGAGGAATGAAGAAATGCACCATCGCCTGGAAGTAGCCAGCAAATGGCCCTCGCCTACTTCACATATCCGGCTTGATGGGCTCCAGGGGAGGGGTTTCAGCAGGCTCTTCCAGTGGAGCATGCCTTGGTGCTTGCCCTGGTCCCACCCCCTTCTGCCAGAGACCCTCAGATCTGTCCCACTCCTGCCCAGGCACCCTTGACGCGAACGATGTAGAGCTGGCCATGTCCACCCAGTAGGCCACACCCACTCCAGCCATGCCCACCCAGTAGGCTGTGCCCACCCTGGCCACACCTATCCGGCTCCCCGAGGACAACCACAGTGCTGATGCGGCCCTTAATGAAATTGAGTTTGACACCCCTGTCCTAAGCCCCTGTTCCTCCAGGTGGATTCTGTTCTAGAGAACAGAAATGAGATGGCAATTGGTTGCTAGTGATCCTGTCTTTCACCCTCATTTTTCATTGGTGCTAGAATGCTCTGGAGCCCATCACATTCCTTGATTGCAAGACATTGCAAGCTCACAATTTACCTTAATGGTGATCATGGACCACAAAAGAATCTGGTTTCCCTATATAAAGAGGCCTTGGATGTCAACTTTAGGGTAGTGTTTTGAGTGATTAAAGTTACATCTAGCTTTGCATCTAGAAATGTTGCTCAGGTTGGACCCCCCCCCCTGCTTTAAAGCCTTTTTACCCGCCTATATTTCTTCACCAGGTGACGAAAGCAATCTCCTTAAAGGACAGACATCTGCCAGGGCGCTTCTTTCCAAACCTGGCAATGTTGGCTCATGGCTTCAGAGACCAAGCTGAAAGTTTGTTTTATAGCAAAATGACGCCAACCCAGAATGGAAAGCTATGCTTTGGGTTCACACACAAAGTATGCCAATCCATGGCTTCCTTAACTCGTGTCTTTATTATTTAATGCATGGGTTGGCTCAATCTGCTTATTATTAAATAAGTGGTTGACTTCAGAAAATCTGATAATTGTAAGGCTTACAAA